TCCCGCCCTGACCCAAAACTTCCACCAAATGATCCTAACCCAGTTTGATGCCAAGATCAAAGTTCTTAGATCTGATAATGCAAATGAATACTTTGCTAAGCCATTGGCATCKTACCTTCTTAMTCATGGGGTTATYCACCAGAGCACTTGCCCTCATACACCTCAGCAGAATGGGGTTGCAGAAAGGAAGAATACACACATCTTGGAGGTGGCTAGAAGTATTATGTTTAGCTCCAATGTCCCTATTCGCTTCTGAGGTGATGCTATCCTCACGACGGTATATCTTATTAATCGGATTCCTTCCCGGGTTCTTGATATGAAACCTCATTTTTCCCTTCTATATCCAAATGAGTTGTTTACTGTTCCCCTTAAAACATTTGGTTGTACCTGTTTTATTCAGCTTCTCGGACCCCATCACTCCAAGTTCGAAACCAAGGCCTCCAAATGCATCTTTGTTGGTTATGCACAAACTCAAAAGGGTTATTGCTGCTATGATGCTGTCTCAGGGAAGAAGTTTGTCTCCATGGATGTCACTTTCTTTGAGGAGACACCCTACTATTCTCGGATTTCTCCTCAGGGGGAGAGCAGTGAGAGTGGGATTTGGGTCCTTTTCTTCAGGGGAGCGCAGTGAGGGCATGGTTAATACTTTTGGGGTTGTTCCTTTACCTATTCCATTGGGTGATGAGGGTTGTAGTAGTGAGGGTGGTCAGAGGGATCAGGAGTTGAGAGTCTATCACAGGCGATGCAGACAGGTTGATCCCGGTCATCAGCAGTCCAGGCCAGCTCCAACCTCTTCTGAGGCTCCAAGTGCAGGTATTACAGTCCCAGGGCCCATAGAGACTCCTTCCATTGTTGCCACTTCACCCCTTGCAGACGACCTTGACCTTCCCATTGCCATCCGTAAAGGAAAACGACATTGCACCACATCTACAACCCATTGCATTTCCCATTTTTTTATCCTATGATCGCCTATCACCCTCCTACAGGTCCTATCTTACTTCCGTTGCTAATGTCCCTTTTCCAAGAACAGTGCAAGAAGCCCTATCAGTCTCGGAGTGGAGAGGTGCAATGCAAGTTGAAATGGATGCCCTGTTGAAAAATAATACCTGGGAGCTAGTTGATCTGCCCAAAGGAAAGAAACCAGTTGGCTGCAGATGGGTATTTACTGTGAAGCACAATGCGGATGGCTCCATTGAGAGG